AGAGGCCACCCTAAGTATTGCGTGAATTATTGTATGACAACTTGGAAAATGGAAACCCCCTTCAAATGTTATCCATGCCAGTTAGTAGTGTCCAGCTTTTGTCAATCAACTTTTCATATGGATTTTTACAGTATATATTTCAATTATCCAGTAATGGTATTTAAACCTCTGCCATTTTTTAAAACAATTTTCTAAAATATAATTTTTTTATAGATACATATTACTAAAACAGTCTGAATCCACTGAGATGTTTTCTTGCGATGAAACAAACTACTTATCCTGAAGTATGAAAACACATAATATAAGATTTGGTTCCTTTCCATAGGCATATTTTTTTAGCCTTTAATTTTTCCAAAAAATGCTTAATTTTCCAATTTTTTTAATTTTCAGAAATCCTGTCATTTTGAACAACCTTTTTCATACAGTCTGAATATTTCGTGAAAAACGAGTATATGCCCTATATACCTTAAATATTCGTTTTATCTTGTGTTACAATTACTTCTGTTTGAGTATACTACGTAAAGATGAAAATGCGTTCACAGTTCCTCAATTTGCATATTTTCATTTTTTTTCGAAAAAGGGCCAAAAATGGCAAATTTCATTGGATCCGTCTCCATGGCAATCGGGTGCACGTGTTTATCTTCTACATGTAACGGCATTCTTAGTATCAATAAAAATTATTTTAACGAAACAATAAAAATTATAGCTTCTTATTTCCCGATGTGTACTTTCTAACACATCCACGAATAGATCGGCGGCCAATAGTAAGTATCATTTAAGAAAAAATATATACTAGTAGTACTATAGGTCTTTAAAGCAGTTTCCAATGTATAGTAAATTACCACATAGTCCAGGTCATTTAGAGAGTTACGTAAAAACTCCTTAAAATTGACTTTTTTATAGCTTTGAAGCAACAAACACATTTTGTGTAATTAACTATTAAAATAAAGTTTTTTGATCCCTTTTATTAAATTGCATTAATTAAAGGACAACAAAGGCACTGTTTCAATAATTATTTATAAAGAAGCTGCATACCTCTTTCCTCTTTACTATATTAATAATAATGAAAAAATCAAGATGTTTGAGTTCATTTTCTATGTTCAGGAAAAGAAAAACATTTTTTCAGTCTAGGAAGGTACTTGGTCACTCCATAACTCCCTTTATCTTTAAGTATTTCCCTTTATCTTTAAAAACTCTAAATATTCTCTTATGACTTAATGAAGCAAATTTGTTTAAATTAATGAGAGAGTGAATCGACTTTGAAGTCTCTTTGTTATAAAATTGAGTATTCTAAAGCCCTCAGGTTGGGAAAGTAAACTGGTACCGTATAAGTTTTAAAACATGAGCCCTTGCATAAAATTTTAGTAGGCCTCAATGTTCTTCGACATCTTAGGCCCTACTCATCATCGAATGTAAAACCTACATGTACTCAGTAATTAAATGCAATGTTGCCCTCTCAAGAATTATTTTCTTCTTGAAGAATAAAAAAATGCGATTTTCCTTTTAACTATTTAATATTATAAGTCTTATTTTGCAGGAAACTATGTGAGATATGACTTTGAATCCTCAGATTATGGGATGGGTTATTTAAAATCTCCGAGCATCAACAATACGGAGGAATCTTATTGTTTCCTAATGCAATACCAGATGATTCGAGATTCAGAATTTCAAGTCAACCTCTTTCATGAAAATGGTTTCGTTAAATTATGGCAAGGCCTGTTCAAGGATATGGCGTGGCATCTACTACGGTTGGACTTTAAAGTTGTCACAGATTATTTCGAGGTGAGCTTATCTCTTAGGCAACTCTAAAATGTTTTTAACATAGAAGCCATGCCTTGAAATACGTATATTGAAATCCCTACTAAAATGAGTAATTTTACCGGACAAGATGATAGTAACAGATGAAGTGATAAATTCGAACTCGTGGATGAAAGATTACAGATCTTGTAAAATTTAGGGATAAATCAGTCCATATCTAAAGTCTAAAATCTTTTAAATTATGCATTTTAAATATGTTAAAGTTCCCGCCTTCAATAATGCTGAGGCTAGGATATAAACATGCAGTTTTGTCTATCTTATGCACAAAATTTAGTCATTGTGTTATTTGATGAAAAGAACGTACTGCCTGCTCAAAAGGTCCTGTACTTAATACCAACCTGCGAAAACTTCTAAAAATAATGCACAAAGTCTCATCTTTTTGAGGACGCCTGAGTAATTTTGGTGACTTACAATTATTTGGTTTCGTCCAGTGTCTTTCGTCATACGTCGTGTGTTAATATTTTAACCTTTCAGCGTCTTTTATGGACCCGCTGAACAAAGTTCAAACAAATTTTGGAATAAAACATCTATGGATGGGAGCACAATCATGTGAATTTTATGGTGACTGTCCCCTTCCCCATCTCCGGGGGCCTAAAGAGTGGGGTTAAAAACTATAGAAATAAATGAAAAATTTTAAAACCTTCTTCTTGAGTCCTGGACATCAAGCAATCAAACATTTGGTATGTTTAAAAGAAAGGTTGATTCCTCTACCAAATTGTGAAAAATTCATGACACCTGTTCACGGGTTCTGGTGCTAGGATGGAGCTGTATTGGCCATTTATTGAAAATGTACTAATATTTCAAAAATCTACTTCTCTTCCTGTATATTTAGGAGACATTCTAAATACCTGTTGATGATGAGCAAGAGTCCTTTTTCCAAATTTGCAAAATTTATAGCCCCTAGATCTGGCACTCTCTTGTAAGTGGAGATCTATAGGTAATATAGTGAAAATGCATTAATCCTTTGAAAATCCTCGTCTCTGCTCCTGGATATTTAGAATACAAACTAAGAGCATGGCTATTTTGTTGGGACATAATTGATTCATTTTATAGTGAAAAATAATGCATTTTAATTCTTTGAAAATCTTTTTTCTGCTCCTGGGTATTAAGACAGACAAACTATTACATAAATATCATGAGCAAAGAATTCCTTCTATAATTGTGAAATCGATGGTTTCGGGATCAGGAGTTCTGGAGTAAGGGCAGAGCTTTTTTGATAAAAAGTAAAAATGCATTAATTCTTTGAAAAACCTTTTTCTCTGCTCTTGAATATTCAGCAGTGAAATTTAATGCAAGGTACTGTTGAGAACTAGTACGTTTTCAAAATTATTAATTTCAGTGCCTCTGAGACATGGGTTTTGGAGTTAGGGTGAGGTTCTATTATTATTATCATTTACACTGCCTTAATAAGTTATTCTCATTTGTTATAGAGATATAAAATATGATGTACAAATGTTATTATTAGTTATCCAGGTCCAATCAAGGGTGTACGGGGATTTACCCCGGGTTTTATTCCGTACACCCTGAGGCTTCTAGAATAAATTCTTTGTAAACAAGACCAATCAACTGTGTTTCAAGCTATCGATAAGATTTACTACGTCCTACATTGCAACGAGACGTCATGTTATTTGATCTTTATTATACAGAAACTGCATTCTAACTTCACGTTTTTTACCCCCGCCTCAAGTCGGGTGTACGGGAAACTTCGGCATTCGGCCTCAGGGTGTATCGAATTAAACCCGGGGTAAATCCCCGTACACCCTTGAATGAAGCTGGATAACAAATAATATCCAATTGAAGGTAGAACGGAGACTTTATTCTTATTTATAAATTTTTGGATGAATTCTGCTTCATATCGGTATGATAACAGGTCGACAAATGAATAAAGAAAGACAATTTGAACCCATTTGAATTTCAACAAATAGTTGAAAACTTGATCTCCATGATTTTTTAACAAAGCAATTTTCCAGATGACTAATTTTCATTCCTGTTACTTATCGGATAATAAAAAAGTATATTAGGTCACAGTCCACCAATACATTTCCCATTGGCGACAATATTAACGTTGTCTCATACAGTTCCTCCCCTTATTTTCGTTGAAGGATGAAAGTTAGTCAAATTTTCTCTAACTAGTTAAATTGCGAGGTGGCATGTTAGATTCGTTTTCCGGCAAAATGCACATGTTCGCAAAAGATCTAAAAATGATAGTAAAAGTAGGGTTATTCCCCGATATCAGTTTATGCAAATATCAAACAATTAAATTCCTTTCCTTTCAAGGATAACACAAAAATGAAAATGGTTTGAACATGGAATGTTCTCTTCTTTCATATATTTAAGTCTCTTTAGTTCAGATGACCTATTTTTTTATATACTGATAACAAGCTAAGCAACTATTTCTTTTTAGCGAACTACTTTCTTCCACTATCGATTCTAAAAATAATAAGAGGAATGTACCCATAAGTTAGAAGAATAGATACATGAAATGTATGAAGACAACGAACTGTACTCAAGCTCAAAGTCAACCAAACAATATAAACTTTGGAGCAGAGCAAACACGGACCTCTAAAACATCAGAGGTGTGATCAGGTGCCATGAAAGAGTAAGCATTCCCTGCCGACCGGTCACAGGCGCCCTGTGCTCCTTGTTATGATCTGGTAATAACGAAAAAAATCCGTCGACAACTCAGTGTGTAAACAATGGCCCAACAATTAGAATGAAAAACGTCAGTCATCATTTGACTTAATAATAAATTGTATTTGCTGACAAGGTCATAGTATCGACCATAGAACTAACGAAATGACGACCTCTGATATTCCTGTTTCACCAACCTGCCAGTCAACAACCTACCTCGCCCCAGAAACTGTTCACACGTAGAGCATGCGCTTGCGTATCGACTCAAATGAGAATGAGAAATATTAAACCCATATGCAGGTGATGAAGGTATATTGCTGCATAAGTAAGGGAAGTTGACGATTGAAAAGGTAAAGTCATCACGTTAATCATAAAGCTTGGTTGTTAGATTACCATTAACGTCTTTTTCTAGTAAAATATCCAAATATGAAACAGTGCTGGGATTCATAAAACTTCTCAGTATATTCTTAAGTTTAAAAAATCACTTAAGTTTTATATTTTATACTTAAGTTCCCTAAGTATTACTTTTGGTAGAAATACCTAAGTGTAGTTCATAAACATAGACCTCCCTTCGAAATTCCTGGAATGTTTAGTGCTGCTAAGAAGACGTTTAAATGCGACTCTCCGAAGCCACCATTGATCATTCCTAAAATAATAATCATTGACCAAAGATCAATCCACAGTATACTGAAATGCAGATGTTATAACTAACATATTTATAAATACCAATGTACACAAGTGTATCATGTTTATATAGACACTATATTTCACTTACCTACTGCTACCTTCGTATTAATATCCCATGCCTTTCCACCCTTTTCTGTTAGATGTTTTTTGCCTGTTGGGACATCATTAAGTAGCCTACACTCCTTGTATCTACACTGCACTTGGAGAATTTGAGCGAGTCCAAATCTCGTCTCTGCAACACAATCGGACAAATGCAAAGGCTGTCCACATCTCTTGCACTCATTTAAATTAGTTGCAAGGGTACCAAGTTCGATGATTCGTCTACCTTCTCTCCAATCATTTTTACCTGTAGGCCCAACAATTTCCTCTTGAGCAACATCAATATCGCGAGCAAGGGGGTCAACACAGTGATACACATGGTCTTCGCTGGCAATTGGAGTGATTACAGGTGTTTCAATATCTCCTTTGGAAGTATCATCATCACTACGGTTCCAATATTTTATGCATTCTCGCCTCAGGACTTCATTTTGTTTTACACGAGAGGATTTAACGAATTTTCCCTTCTTATTTCGCGCCGCCATTATTGCGGGATGTTATTGATAAATAATAGTGTTAAAAACCTATACCGGAGTCCGATCCGGATATGACGTCACAAGACTAGACCCCTACTTTAAGTGTCCTCAGGAGGTGTTTTAAGTACTAGATAAGAAATATTAAAGTTTTCTTTATTTAAATGAAAATAATCATGCACAGAAAAAATCTTAATATTTCATTAAGAAACCATTCTATTACATCCAACTAGAAACTCTTTTTGCCTTTGAAATAATTAACAGATGGTAAGATGCAATATTTTTCAATGTTGATGACATAGTACATTAATATTTCACTTGTGATGTAATACACATGGAATTATATACCTCTATCAAAAAAGAGTTCGCTTTTTGTTCGGGAATTCTCATGCGTTGCTAGGGTGACTTAACTTAAGTGCTCTAATTTTCCCAGAATTGAACTTAGCTAAGAATTATACTTACATTGATATGAATATGACTTAAGAATTTTTTCTTAACTAAGAATTTTTTTTAGTACAACTTTAAGTAAAATCTAAGAGTATTTATGAATCCCGCTTCAGATGTGTCAGACTCTGTGGAATCTTTTATTTCAAGCTCACTGGAATATATCGTATCTACATAAGAATGGAAATGACCATTGTTAATTAACGATACGTCGTTTATATATCTAAATGTTGAGTTGAAGGCCACAGCAAGCAAGTGTTTTCATCTTTTCAGGTACTAGATTTTTGTCACCCAAATTTTTCCATTACTAAATAACCTCAAATTCATTCCATGTTTCTTTCTAATAAGATAATGTTTACTTGTCAACATGTAACAACCAGTTTTGTTCTCCAATGAGTCTGAGTTCATTTGCAATTAAAAGAAAGAACAACTTAGTTTTGTGAGAAAGGTCATTTATTCAATTTACCACAAATATATTTGATCAGTTGATGACATTAGTGTCAATCATTGATTAACCAAAAAATTGCTGAAAAAATGACAATAAATTTGCAAAGGTGGGGTTAAAAACCGCAAAAACCGAAAGTGTAAACTTGAGGGACCCCACCCGAAGACTCATTGGAGATCATGAAAGAAAAATTGAATTTCACACATACTGCAATACCCAGATATTAACTACACCAACCATCTATACATGTAAACTTTTCAATAAATGTGTAAGGCACGCAAAGTGATAGGCAGAATTTTTGTAAAACAATTATGTAACAAAATAAACTAGCAATTTTTTAAAATAGAGCAAGCCTTGTTGACCTCTATTTTGAATATCTAAATGCAGGACAAACTCTGTTGATTTTTATTAGAAAAAAACATCAAAAAGGTCATTATACCCTAAGCAATAGTCACACTAAAATAAATTTTACATCTTTTGATATAAATATAAAAAATGTCTACAATAATCTAGATCTATAGAGCAAGCCTTGTTGTCCTCTATGTAGTACAGTATAAAATGCATTGTAGAGCAAGCACTGTTGACCTCTTCATGTTACTACAAATTATGTCAGAGCAATCCATGTTGACCTCTGACACACCCTATAACACTGTCATGACTAAATATGTATTTGTTTTGTTAGAAATTGTTCATTCGAATGTAGTTTTTGAATGCATTAGACTTCCATCTCCCCATTGAGGAAAATATGCATATGAAAATGGTGTACCACATGTGAATTGAAACAAAGGTCCCGTACTGTGTTTTGCAAGGTTTAAGTAATTAAGCATACAGTACATGTAGCTTTGACAGAACACATAGGGTTCTTACAGTTTTTGGGGATAAATATTGTTTTTGTTTGAGAATTGCTGTGTTTGTAATATTGCAAACTCTGTGATTTGACATAGCTGCTTCCCAAACTTCTAGGGATAAAACAATTGGGTATAATTTCTTAACAGTTATGTGTAAATCCTTCATATCATTAGACCATTTTCCAGTGAACCACTTACAACCAAACACTGCTGCATAACCACCATGCACACCAGCTGAATATTTGTACAATTTTATAACATCTAACGAAATCCACTCTGAATATAAAAAACAAGATTTACCATTGTAGTTGCAGACAAAATCATACCATGCTTGTAAATCTGCCCTAGCTTCTGAATTTTGGGTAATTTTATAATGAGGACAGTTGTGACCTATTGTTAGATCATACAATCTCCTTAAAAATGCACGCCCCGGGATTATCACACTACATGCAAAATTTAATGAGCCTACCAATGACTGCATTTCATGTAATGTAACTTTTCTCCTGACCTTGAACTCCTGAAGTAACTGTAATATTTTCTCTATTTTTTCATTGGGTAAGCGTGCTTCTTTAACTTGTGCATTAATCTCAATTCCATAAATAACAATGATAGGGACTCCTAACGCATCTGCTAAACTTAAAAATGAATTTAGTGCTGCTGAACATTCTACAGAATTAGCTTTCCCAACAAAAAAGAAATCATCTAACAAATGTGAAACCCCTTGAATGTTAAATTTTTCATTTAAAATCCACCGAATTGCTGTTGAAAAACTCTCAAAAGCTGACAAGATGCTGAGGCACCCATAGGTAAAGATGCATGATAATAAAACTGATCCTCCCAACAAAAACCTAACAAATGGTACTGTGATGGATGAATAGGAATCAGACAAAAAGCATCTTGTATGTTATAAGTTTTGATTTTGCTAGAGTGTCATATCTTTGTAAGATATTATTTAACTTATTTACTTTTATTGGAGTTGGGAGATTTATTTTGTTGCCAATCTTTACAATATGATGGAGCATTTTTTTTTCCACACTGGACACATTGATTTTTGTGTTTACATTGGAAGTTTGAGCAAGCCCCTGTTTTACAGTAGGTCCAGCAGTATCCTGAGGAGAACTGATGTTGGGATTGCTGGACCCGTTTTTGAAAGGGATGTTTTGCAACTTGCAATTGTTTGCCCGATTGGAATGTGCTGTGCATATTGGTGCCTTGCCCTATGTTTACATGGTCATAAAAAGCAGACTTCCACAGGTCTTCATTTACTACTGCCCAATCAAAAAACATCACTTTGCGCACCTAACGAAAATTCTCATCATAAGCCCTTGCCATAGGAAATCCAAATTGCTTGGACATACATCTGATATTATGGACATATTTAATCAGACCTGATGCAGAATGAGAATGCTTCGAAATGTACACTGACAATGAAAATATCAAATGCTTCAGACCATAGGTGGATCGATACAAATTGTTTGTTTTTTTTTTGCATTTGTTGATATTTTGAAACCTTTTGATTTAAACAAAATTTCATCTTCTTGGTTTTCATTAAAACTAGGAACCAGATTTGGTAACTCAAGAAATTGTCCTCCCAAATGGATTTCTTTACTTTTTGCTCCACATTAAAACCCAAAGGAAGGGAGTTTTTCAAAACATACGAATCAGTGCTTCCAATATTATTTTCAGTACCTAAAACTGGCGAGACTCGGTTGAAGTTGAGGGCTGAGAAGTACTTGCCTCCTCATCTACCACAATGTCCACTGCTGACCCTGTACCGCCTGTCCAACTGTGTCTTGGTTCCCCCTCAGCTGGGTGATTAGGGACAAAAGTTGGGTTCCCTGGTTTTCCTTCAGTTTGGAAATTAATGATGTGGCAATTTCGTCAGCAGTGGGCATTCTTGGGGCCTTTACAGCTGGGCTCTCAGCAGTGTATGCTTTGACTTTACTTGCATTCCTTGCCCTTCTCCCTGGGGCCTTTGGTTCTGATACTTTAGCAGTATTTTTCTTCCTCTGATTTTGCATCTTGGTACTATTTCAAGAAATAAATATAAATAAAATTTGTATTAGGATTGAAACCCAAATTGTACTTGATATATTAAAAAATAATTATAGCAAAAAATGAGGAATGGTGTGTATAGTATCCAACTGAAAAATGAATATCTTATATGCCTGATGATTCACCTTCAAAATGAAACAACAATTTTGAATTTAATCAAGCATCTAAGCACAAATTACATTAAGATGCACAAAGATACCAAAGTATCACCATAAAACAAAGTGCATAATGATGCACACAGATGCCTAAGCATCACCATGAAACGAAGTGCATAATGATGCACACAGATGCCTAAGCATCACCATGAAACAAAGTGCATAATGATGCACACAGATGCCTTAGCATCACCATAAAACAAAGTGCATAATGATGCACACAGATGCCTAAGCATCACAAGAACACAAAATGCATAATGTTGCACACAGATGCCAAAGCATCACCATAAAACAAAGTGCTTAATAATGCACAAAGATGCCTAAGCATCACCATAAAACAAAGTGTATAATGATGCACAAAGATGCCCAAGCAACACCATAAAACAAAGTGCATAATGATGCACACAGATGCCCAAGCAACACCATAAAACAAAGTGCATAATGATGCACACAGATGCCTAAGATCACCATAAAACAAAGTGCATAATGATGCACAAAGATGCCCAAGCAACACCATAAAACAAAGTGCATAATGATGCACACAGATGCCAAAGCATCATCATAAAACAAAGTACATAATGATGCACACAGATGCCTAAGCATCATCATAAAACAAAGTGCATAATGATGCACCCAGATGCCTAAGCATCACTATAAAGCAAGTGCATAATGATGCACAAAATCAAGCCAATCAGAAATCTTAAGTAAATGATGAGGAATGATGATACTAAAACAGCACCCTAAACCATAAGCGTTAAATGAGACAAATTAAACATCAACAGAAAACCAAGTGATAATGATGCAAATACATATTAATGATTAAGCATCAACCATGATTAAAGTATACTACTATAAGTGGCTAAGTGCCTATAATTATGATAACAATACATAACGATGCTAGATCTACTCAAACCTCAGACAGTCGGCGTATGAAGGACAATGATACTACAGTAAAATAGCAACAAATAAATAAAAAAAAGAAATGTAATAGGATAATATATATTATAGATATTCAGGAATTTTGTTGCTCATTAGTCGAATCTGACTATACAAACAGTCCCAATTTAGGACTTTCAACTGAATTAAGTTAGTATATTACTACTTAATAAGATAATGGAATAACTTCTGTTAACTCTTACTAATAACTATTTCTC